CCTTCCAGAGTGGGACCGTGAGAAAGTGAAGCCCGTAAATGGCCTTTCAGTGGATGAAGTCCTGAGCAGTCTTTCATACTGTGAACTCATCGCTCAGCTGTCTGGGGGTGGTTTTCTTTAGAAAATCCCAGTTCAAATGCAACATGCCCGTTTTCAGTGATAAACCCTTGTGCTGAATGATATTCTGTCTCAGCACTGTGTTTACCCCAGTATGGATTTATTCAGCAGCATCTTTTCCCTCCAGCCCTCTTTTACATTCCTTACCATGCTTGTTCCTCTTCCTAATGATCATGGAATAGCAACGACGACCGATGAGAGTGTGGCAAGAACTGAATGTTGCTCCTAACAATGGCAATGAGGCTTCATTTAAGATTTGGATGCTGAGAAAATTCAAGCAAAGAAGCTGATGAGATCAGAAATTCAGCCCTTCCATATGAATTCAGTAACTTACTTCCTTTTGACTACTTTCTCCTCCACCTAGCTGGAATCTTGCCACCATGTCTAATCCCTGGATATCCAGAACCCAGCTCCTGGTAGCAACAAGGTTAAGTTCGAAAAATGACTGCTCTTCAAAGCTGCTGTACAGCACTATGTCCCTTCCCACCTGGAATGTCTTCCAAGCACCCTCAGGCAACAGTTCATCACTTGCAAGTGTGAAGCTCTTTGAAACAACAAGGCCTTTGCTAATGGCAAGGCACAGGTGCCATGAACTTTGGGAAAACAATCCACAGTAAACAGGACCATCTACTTCATTCAGTACCTCTGGCAAGAGTCTGTTGCCTTGGTCGCCAGCTGATGCTGTGAATTTCCTGTAGGCAAACATTCCTTATGAGCATCATTTCTCCTTCCCCAGCTGCTACATTTCCCTGCAGTTCAGCACAGTCTGAACACCACAGCTCCAGAGGTCTGACTCCTGCCTGGGCAGACCTGTTGCCTGCCACCTGCAGCTCAATGGTCTGTTGCTTTTGGAATCTGCTTCCTAAAAACCAGTCTGAACTCAAATGCATTATTTCATGACTAAGACTCATTAAATCCTTTGCAAGAACTAACAGTGAAGTCATCCCAGTACAGGATACTTGGAGGAATGGTAGGACTTTGTGATCATTGAAATGTAACTATGAGGTCTCCCCAAAGTGCCACTGAAAGAATGAAGAGACAAATACAAAGAAGGCCCATTTCCTTTATTATCAAAGAGATGGTACCAGAGAGCCCCTACCTCTGGATTATTTGTCTATCCAGTGGCCTGGGTGAAACAACTAATCAGATTCACTAGTTTTATGGTCATTCTTCTCTTGCTCACCAATAGATGGGAGCAGAGATTTCTCGACTCGTGAGATTTTCAGGCTACAGCACTTGCAGTTTTTTGAAGACTATAAGGGGCAAAAAAAAGAAAACCAAACAATGACAATATAACTCATTCATGTGTCCACAGGGAGAAGGACATTGTTTTGTTTAGTGGCATACAAATGAGAGTTGTAATGGGAGTCAAATGGAAACCAGGAGTCAGCACTCCTGAATTCTTTAACCTTGGGAATCTCTGGTTTGGTATCTAGCGCTGGTCAAAGGTATTTAATACGTTTACAACCCCTCATTGTTATTTCCCAGATATAAGTGTGTTTTGCTTGGATCCAAGCCTTTACAAAAGCAAATAAACATGTCCTAAACTTCCATTCATTTTTCTTACTAGATCAAAGAGGAAAAGCTGTCCAGAAGTAAAAAGCTAAGCCTCTAATGAGATGATCAGTGAGTTGTTTCTCTCTTGTACTATAAGCATTTAAATTATAGAATTGCACTTAGGGCACTCTGCACTTCTGACTGGTGTAGCAGGATCCAGACAAATCACTTTAGAAATTAGCTTTCAGCATAGGTCTGACCTGGCCTCTGACCTTTCATCAGAGACAAGCCAAATGCTGGCTGTTAATTGTGCCTGGCACTCCTCGAGGGGTGTGGACACACCATGAGGAGTTTCCTACCAGCAAGAAGCTGTTTGCAAGAAGCAAAATCTTGGATGGCAGTGGAACAGCTGCACAGGTACCAGCTGTGTGACACTGCAGTGCCTCTCTGCACTGAGCACAGCGGGGTCTGTCTGTAGTAGATGCTTGCCTTGGAGAGGCAGGAAGGTCCCGGCACAAAAGCTACAACTAAACCTGCACCGATTTGAAAAATCCCTCACAATCAACGAGGTTCGTGAAGGTCCTGAGTCACTGACTCAGGGAGTTGCCAAAACCTTTTTGTAATCCTGTGCTGTTAAACTAGAAAATGCTTTTTTAAACCTATTTACTGAGATGAGTTTGCATAGCTTGGGGTTTGTTTGGTAGGGGGAATTTTGGTTAATTCATAGTGGGAATATAAATGATCTTGGCTTTGAACTGCATTTCTCAGCTTTTTTCATGTCATTTGCTTTACTCCAGGGGATAGATCTCTCCAGCTGCCTTTCATGACATGGCCTGAAGCAGGGGTCTGAAGTGATTTTTTTTTTTTTCTCTTCCCTTCTGGCAGTAATCCTACAGATACCACTGGTCTTAACTAGCACAGCCAGAGCTGAAGTTGCCAAGAACTCTGGAAAAAAAAAGGGAGGAAAACAAAGTCAACCGACTGCATGCCAAGGAGGAGGTATTTTGGAAATTAAAAACTCTGATTTGTAGTTTGGGTGCATTTGGACTTTATCAAAGCCACGTCTTCATTCTAGTAATAACCTCTACTAAAAACCAAAATCCTCTACATAAAACTTGCTTTTGACTTCCTAATTTAACAACAGCAGCCTTTCTGAAATTATAGTTTCTGTTACTGTTGAGTTAAAAATTAAAACCTTATCCTGCAAGAGGGAGAAGTTTCACACCTTTTTATACCTTTCTATAATAAGATGGGGGAGGAGTTCCACAAAATTACCCAACAAAACATCAGATTAAGATACTGCGGTGATTCAAAATTTAAGTATGTAATGAAAGGGAATGCATCTTACCCAGCTTCAGCTGATTGGGAGTCAAGAATTAACTATTTGTCCTACTCTGTCAAGGCAGAAAAACAGGTACCTCTGGAGCCCTCTCCACGCGATGCTATGGAGGGACTTTTTTACCCTGTGGAGAAATACCAGGGTTGTAATTCCCTACGGAGAAAGCTGAAAGAAGAAGCTTTGACTCAACGCCCAGCTTTTAGATGCCTAAACTGAGGTGAGTTGAGTCCTGTCCCTGCTTAAGTGGGACCAGTTTTTTTGGAGTAATAGTTTCTATTGAAATTATATCAGTGGGAGTATTGGTCCTAAACTGGACAATAAGGCAAGGGAGTGAAGACGTGATGCAAAGTACAGCTTGTGAGTATCAGCAGTGTGCCTGCACTCGGGTAAGGAAAAAGGATCCCCTTAATCACATGTTCTTTTTTTCATATACATAAACATGATCTATGAGACAGAGCTAATGCATAAAACTCAAACCCTTAGCACAAGTCTTTGGTTTTTCCTGGGCTACAATTTATTCAGCACTGTGGAGGAGTATGGCTCCTATTACACATCAAAAGTCTTTCGCAGGGAAACACTTGGCTCCAGATTATCACTGTGAAAGCCACACATTCCCTGCCCTCTGTGCCCCCTCTGATCCAGAGCAGGCAATGCCCAAAGGCAGTTGTGGCACTGGTGTGAGGAGGCTGCCCCACTCCTGTGCAGGGCACCAGAGCTGGAGCTGCGCGCCGGCCGGGCTGCCTCACTTGGCAGCACGTGCTTCCACTCCACTGCCACACAGGCATTCCTCCTGCTCTGCCAGCCAGCTGCAGCGCCAGGCCCAGCCTGGGGTTTGTGGTGAGGGGATTTTGCTTTGACAGCCCAATGTCATTTTGTTTTTACATTATCAGCCCTTTTTGTTATAAGCTGTGGGCTTCAGATAACAGCGGCGAAAAACTATTTCAAGGGGGAGCAGCACCCCGGGTACAGAGTGAGACAGAAAACAGTCAGAAAAACCAAATATTTCTTACTTCTTGTAATCACCTGCCTTACAGCAGTCAAATGTTGACAAGTGTTTGCTGATAACTGGCTTGCAGGAAAGACGAAGTGAAAGAGAACAGCAAGAGAGGGGTTTTTTGCATTTCTGATAAACTTCTAGTTATGCCCTTCAATGACAGTTTTGCCAACAGAAAAAAAGTAAGACAAATTTTTGCCATCTGAGGTGTCTGGAAGCAAACTCACACATGCCTTCCCTGTACTAGGCTTTTGTTTGGAGAACCTTTCCATCTGGATGAGTAGCGGGAACAGGAAAGCATTTGAAGCTGGGAAAACTACCATCCTGCTGCCTATAAAGCACTGATAGGATTTTTATGTGGAGCCCTAAAGAGAATGACACGCAGTGCTTTTATTTTGCCAAATGCGAGAGCTCAGATGTTTGCAAGCAAAACAAAATAAGCTGAGGCATTGAAAGCCCTTCCTGAAATGTGCCTGGTGGCTGACGCCGTGGCACGTCCCCCAGCACATGCATTGTGCAGGCTCTGCCTCATGTGGACCCCTGGGCACAGCAGCACCACTGCTGAGATCCTGCTCATGGCACCCCCTGCACAAAGAGGAAGGTAATTAGCAGAGAAATGACTATTGGCGCAGCTAGAAAGTAGACAAGTAATCCTTGGGGGTTTAGTTCATTGCCTCCTTGTTTTCAAACCAGCGCCTAATCTTCCCAGACCCCACTCCGTGGCTGCTCCTTTCTTCCTTTCTGTTCTCCTTCCCCCTTTTTGCAGGGACTATGGCTAATTCTGATTCACTCCATTTCTTTCTTCCCAAACAGCCACAGGGCAGCCTGGCTGTTGCCAGGGATATAGTAAATGCATGTGACACCGGGCCACCAACAACAATCGAGAGAGTCACACTCATTCCTGGTGTAATGGCACTGCAATCAGCACGGCCAGGCTGGGAGCTGGGCAGCCCAGCTATGAACCTGGATAAAGAGTTTTCTTTAAGGAAAGTGCTCTTAAAAATAGCTTTCAGGGAGAAATGTGCAGGTTTTACTTGTAAAATGACTGTTGGCAAAGGGTTTGTTGCCAAACTCCAGTCAGAGCACCAGCGAGAGGTGGTAAACATGCCATTCTGACAAGGAATTAGCAGGCAACATAGCACTGGGGAAAATATTACGACTTTCTTCTTCCCTGACCTGAAAGAGCCTGTTAGGAGATTAGGAATCTCCATCTCTCAAAGGTATAGCTGTTTTACCAAAATTTAATCAATGAAGAATAATATTTTGGGAACAAGAGAAAACACCTCTGTAGGATGTGGAGTGTTAGGAATAGATGGAAAGTTGCCTGTATAAACAGCTCAGCAACTCTGGGATAAATTATAGGAGCATTTGTATGCATGATTGCCCATCTGTGTAAAACAAGACGTGCAGCCACAGACAGGAATGATGTGCAAGGCAGACGTGGGGCTGATGTTAACTTGATCCAGAACAGAAGATCTGTCCCATCACATCTGAGTTTGACCCAAGGAAGTTTGGATAAATCTAAATAAGTAAATAAATAGAGGAAGAGGCCTCAGTGAGAGGAAACTCAAGGTATGCTATCTACGAATCTGTTTCTGGGTTTGGGGTTTATTTAGACTCAAGTCAGATTTTGGACTGTTATTTCTCCACTTGAAGGTTTTTTGGCAGTTGCAGGAGGGCTGAAGGCTCAGATCCAGCGTGTTCCTTCCAGCTGCAGGCCCAGAGCAGGCCACGGGCACTGGCAGGGGTGTGGCGAGCTGGAGGACTTCAAACCAGGGATGCTGTCAAGAACTCTGCCTTCCACAGCTCCCCTCTCAAGCACCAGCTGCAAAATGTCAACACCACCTTCCTCAGAGAACACAATTAATTAAACCAGGCTTAATTAATTAGTGTCAGTAAAGCAGATGTAGCAGTTATGGTGGAAGTAAACAAATGTACATATTGTAAATTATTATCTTCTCTGCAAAGGATTTGGTCCGAAATCCCTGTGGCCATTTCACTCCTCCCCACGATGCTACTGGGGAGGCCTCTGGGAAACATGCAGAGATAAACTGCTAATTGATGAGAAACTAATGTACTTCTATAGGTTTATATCTCAGAAAACAATCAGCAAACAGACTTGTTTATTAACCCCTTTGGACTTGATGGTGAAATACAATCCTGATATTTAATTTCCATATCATGCAACATCATGTGCCACAAATAAGTCAACTGTTTAAAGTCTTGGGAGTTTTATTTGAAATGTTTTACACTTGAAAATCCAACTGAGGCTTTTGTATCATCTACCAGTGCTGTTCTTTGATAGAGCAGGAGAAAAAGTAAGTGTTTCATATACAGGTAATAATCAACTGTGTGCTCACTGGAGCAGATTTTGGTCCAGTTTTGCCCTACTGAGAGTGAGGAAAAATGATGCTAAACTTGGGCTGATTACACTGAATGTAGCCTGATGTGAGTAAGGGAGAGGATCAGAATCCCACTGACCCAATATACCTCCCCTCAGGCAAAAGGGACACCTTTTATAATGTCAGTAGGTGCTGATGCAATGACAGCATTCATCCCTGGGTCAGAGGTTGAGATCAAGGGAAAGAAAAGGGGAAAAAAATTGGTGGGGTAATGAAAGAACAGTAACTAGTGATTGTGAAGGTATTTATTATATGTGTCTGTGCAATTGGTGTTCTGCAAAGCTGAATGTGAGTGTGAAAAAGCAGATGTGGAGCCACTCCAGTCTGGAGCCTTTAGACTGTTGTAAAGGCTCTGCAGTAAAGGAAATCTCTCATGCCCTGTAGATATGAGGACGATGCAAACTCAATATAATGGGCACTGTAATAGTGAAGCACACTTGGAAAATGCAGATAGAGAAGGGATGCTTTACTAGGGTACAGTCATCTCCCTAATTCATGCTGTAAAGAAGCCATGAAGGGGGAAAAATTCCCCCTTTCCCTGGTGATGACTCAATGGATTAATGTAGGCAGCAGCATATGGCCAGGGTGCTGTGAGAGGTAAGTTGCAGTCAGAGGCCACTGCTCTTCCTGCCACTTAGCCTGTGTGGTTCCCCTTTTCCCCCCCAGGATATTGATATCAAGTAGTCTCTGTGGAAACAGAAGTTTCTGTGGCCCACGCCAAGGTATCCCCTTTCTTTGTTCAGGTGACAGCACTCCCTGTGCAAAGGACTGCCCAGTGACGGGCTGTGTATGGACGCTGCTGCGGGGTACGGGCTGTTCCCACCAGGGACTGCAGGTGAGTGCAGGGCCCTGCTGGCAACTTTGTGGGCTTCCAGTTTGGTGTTACGTGCTCTGTGCTTGGGGTGCTTCTCGTTGTTTTCAAAAGACATGTCTGTCCGTATGTCCGTCCGTGTGTCCGTCTGTTCATCTGTCTGCCTGTGTGTCTGTCCGTCTGTCTATCCATGCGTCCGTCTGTCTGTCCTTGTGTCTATTCATCCGTGTGTCCATCCGTCCATATGTCCGTGTCTGTCCATGTGTCTGTGTGTCCGTCCGTGTGTCCGTCTGTCTGTGTGTCCATCCATATATCCATCTATTTATCTGTCCGTCTGTGAGTCTGTACATCCACCTGTCGATCCGTGTGTCCATCGATCCGTGTGTCTTTCCGTCTGTGTCTTTCCGTCCGTCTGTCAGTCTGTCCGTCAGTCCATCTGTCCATGTGTCCGTCTGTCTGTGTGTCTGTCTGTCTGTTCGCCTGTCCGTGTGTCCGTTCGTCCCTCCGTCCATCCATGTGTCCGTCCCTCTGTCTGTCCATCTGCGTCTGTCCATCCATCCATCTGTGTGTCTGTCCATCCATCCGTCTGCGCGTCCGTCTGCGTGTCCGTGTGTCCGTCTGTCTGTCTGTGTCCATCTGTCTGTCTGTGTGTCTGTCTCTCCATGTGTCTGTCCCTCTGTCTGTGTGTCTGTCCCTCTGTCTGTGTGTCT